CTATATGCAATATTATTCAATATCATACTGGTCCTTTCATTAGTGATTCTAATGATTTTTACTTCTATTATTTACCTCTCTGTTTCAAGTTATGCATATAATAATTTCTTTGACTTTCTGATTTTTTCCCTTTCCTGTTCTCACAATGTATGATTAAACCAATAGTCAGTATTTAAATTGATATAATTTTGTAGATATCCACTACTGAACCAAATAGCATATATATAATATAATATATATTGAATGTATAATACATATATGCAGTTTTTTCTTTTACACTTTAGTATTGAGATTTAATAGTTGAACTGTTCTGTGTTTGCTTAATATTCTGTGAACACTGCACTTTACTTGCCCAAATGTTCCAACAGATTTCTAGAATATTGCCAGAATAATTTTAAAGGCTTAAATTCACCCAATAATTTATCAGTTATATTTTTTTCCTGCACATATGTTCTCAGACCCCTTGGCATTCTTATTCCCAAAAGAATCCTTGCTCCCTAGGCCAGAACGCTATTCATTTTGTTCCTCTCCTGGGTTGGAGTTCAGGCAAATATCTAGAGGCAGGGCCAGATTCATGCACAGGCAACTTATGCAGAGCCTTATGTCTTTTCCTTTTTGAAAAACAACTTCATTTAAAAAAAAAATCAGTCTCATAATGCTTCTTTAACTGCATATAGAAATTAAACTTTTTAAATAAGCATCTTTATATCTTATTCTAGTTTATTTATATAAGCCTTCAGGTTGTCCCTGAATTGTTAAAGCATTTCTGCACTGTTGTTCAATCTTTGTTGCTGTTATTGCCAAGTGTGATATCAGTTCAGTTCAGTTCATTTCAGTCACTCAGTCATGTCCGACTCTTTGCAACCCCATGAACCGCAGCAAGCCAGTCCTCCCTGTCCGTCACCAACTCCTGGAGTTTATTCAAACCCATGTCCATTGAGTCGGTGATGCCATCTAACCATCTCATCCTCTGTCATCCCCTTCTCCTGCCATCAATCTTTCCCAGTATCAGGATCTTAATTTCATCTTTAATTGTATTATTTTGAATGTTTTCTTTCTCATTGACATTTTTTAGAATTTTCTCTGTATCCTTGATTTTATTTTTATACATATTTTATTTTTCTTCTTCTCTAGTACTCAGTAGGCCTTTGTGTTTATAGACAGGAGCTTTCGTTGCAGAAAATTTGCTTTGCAATTTTTCCTGCAGTTTAGTTGCAGAAAACATACCTTTGAAATATTCCTCTCTTTGATTTCATCCTTCAGTTAATTATCCTATGGGTTGGCCTTTGGATTTTCTAGACTATCTAGACTATTGCCTCTTTTTTTTTTTTGTCTTTTTCTCCTATTTCCCATAGACTGTTTCATCATCCTATTTTAATTTCTTACTGATTTCCTCATGTGTATATTCAATGCTTTTACTGAACTTGTGATTCTAGTTATATTTTAATTTGTAAGAGCTCTTTATTGCTGAATATTTTTTTTACAGTGACATGTTCTTATTTTAGTCACTATCAGAACTTTCAGAGTTATTAATTATATTCTTTTGCATGAGGATGTTTTCCTTTTTTCTCTGGGTTCATTTTTATGTTTGCTCTGTTTTTCTTCTTTCTTTCACATAATAAGCTTCCTCAAATGGTTCCTAATTTTAGATGTCTGTTCATATTTAAGAGTAAGGCAGAAAAAAGCTGATTAAACTCAGTGTTATAGTCAAGTTTGCTGATATCTGGGTCTTTTCTCTTTGGTCACACTTCTTCCTTAGAAAATACACATCTTGTCAGTCATGCATAATTTGTGAGGCCCAATGAAAACTGGAAATGCAGAGCTTCTTGTTGAAAAATTAAGAATCTGTAGATCCTGAAACTAAGAGTTTGGTCCTTCTAAGCATGTGATCCTATGAGGCTGCGGAAGTTGCATACCCATGAAGCTGACCCTGTGTTAAATAGATATTTGCCTGACCCCCAGTGTTGTGGGAACTGAAGTTTTTTGCAGTCAACATATCTTGGCAATGTACATATTCAGATAATCCCCCATTTTTCACCCCATGTGCCTTACCTATATCCTCTGCGTGGCCTTTGTCCTCCATTTTAAAGCCCCTCTCTAATTCCTACTGAGAGTCAGGACTGTATTACCTAAGAGTGGAGTGTTGCATGTTCTAACAGAATGTCAAGAGGCTGACACATGGTGTTCACCCTCTCTATACAGGCTTTTAACCCGTCACCTCCTACTTTTCAGCCTACATCTAACATCTTCATTCTGGAACCTTTTGTTCCAAGTCCCAAGAATATTTTTACTTTTTCATTTCTTCCTTTTAAAGACACAGTAGTAATTTCTCCATTCTCCTAATTCAAAATCCATCCCATTCTTTTATCTCATTTCACTCTTCCAAAGATTTGTTGGAATCTCTTGTTTTTTGGTTGCCTTCTCTTCAAATTTCTGTGATTTTATACCTCATTTTGCTCCACTGTGTCATTTGTTGTGGTATGGTATAGAATAGAGATCGATTGTGTGCCCTATCTGCCATAAGGAAGGAATAGTCTTTAGAATATTATTTAAAATATAAAGTAAATAATAACAAAGGTTAGTTTTTATGATCTTAGTTTTCTGAATATTAAGGTTTAAGCTAGCTTTGTCACTCTCTTCTTTCACTTTCATCAAGAGGCTCTTTAGTTCCTCTTCACTTTCTGCCATAAGGGTGGCATCATCTGCATGTCTGAGGTTATTGATATTTCTCCCGGCAATCTTGATTCCAGCTTGTGCTTCTTCCAGGCCGGCGTTTCTCATGATGCACTCTGCATATAAGTTAAATAAGTAGAGTGACAGTATACAGCCTTGACGTACTCCTTTTCCTATTTGGAACCAGTCTGTTGTTCCATGTCCAGTTCTAACTGTTGCTTCCTGACCTGCATACAGGTTTCTCAAGAGGCAGGTCAGGTGGTCTGGTATTTCCATCTCTTTAAGAATTTTCCACAGTATATTGTGATCCACACAGTCAAAGGCTTTGGCTTTGGTGATTATTTTAGGTTGGTTTAAAAACTACAGTATTATACATATTTCTCTGCATTTTCCTAGCATGTTTTCAGCTGCCCTTCTGACTTTCTCTCACACTGACAGGGGACTCTGATTTTTCAAGGATATTCTGTCATGCATTATCCAAATTACTGAAGAATTTTTAAGAGTTACCCAGTGCCCCAAGGATAAAGTCCAAGCTCCCTGACTTCCCTAACTTCTCCAGTCTCGTTTCTCACCAGTCTCTTCATATTCTCAAATACCGCCCCACATCTCAGCCCCCTTCCACTTGCCCCACCCTTCAGCATCCTTCTTTAAAACACAGCTTGGACAGTATGAGCCCAGTACTCAGTGCAGACCCTTGCCACGTGCACTCCATAATGTTTGGGGGGGACACTTAATATTTCCCCTGCAACATACATCACACTATGCAACAACAATCTGCTTATCTGTTGAACTTACCTCAAACTTGTGCCCTTCTCTGAGGCCAGGTATATATAGTCTGTTCTGTTTAGTATCAATAAAAGTCCTGACACTTGCTGCTGCTGTCACTTCAGTCGTGTCCGACTCTGTGCGACCCCATAGACGGCAGCCCACCAGGCTCCCCCGTCCCTGGGATTCTCCAGGCAAGAACACTGGAGTGGGCTGTCGTTTCCTTCTCCAATGCATGAAAGTGAAAAGTGAAAGTAAAGTCACCCAGTCGTGTCTGACTCTTAGCGACCCCATGGACTGCAGCCCACCAGGCTCCCCCGTCCATGGGATTTTCCAGGCAAGAGTACTGGAATGGGGTGCCATTGCCTTCTCCAAGCAGGAGCTAGACCATATCTTTTTTGGTGACAGAGGCAACAGCTTATCACATAGTCTGGACAAGCAGTCTCCCAGTTGAGGCCAACATATTTACAAGCAACCGCTGTCATGGATTTCACAGAAATGTGTACACTCAGCGTGTATTCCAGCACAGAAGAGCTTTTGCGCTGCAAACCCCGTTTCTCTTTGTGTTTGCCTATAGCTAGTCCAGATCTTGCTCTCTGTCTAATATCTTCAACTCTGTGGTGAAAACCCTGATGTCCGGATTTTCCGCTCTGACTCTCTTACCTGACTCTGCAACTCTGCGATCACTGGCATCTGTATTCTGTGGGAAAGAGACCTTTTTTCATTCAGTAACCGCATGTCTTCAACTATCCCTATTAAAGCCCTATTTCTCCTAGTGTAGACTTTCCATTAAAAACTTCAAGTAGAAAGTATAAACTCTTAAGCAATGAGGTTTTTGACCTTGCCTGAGCACACAGCATATCTCAAGTATGCAGTCTGGGCCTTTATCAACACATGAGGCAGCATTGGTGTCCGTGTGGATGTGGATATGGAGGTGTGGATCCAAAGAAGGATTCAGAAGGACATATTCAGAACTTTTCCTTGGTCATACATCAATCAGAGGTGACACTTGTTCACCTCTGAAGAAAGCCTCAATGTCAGAAACACCTGTTTTCCTATCTTTCTGCCAGTATTTTCTTTTCAAAAATAATTTTAATTGATGGCTAGTACACACTAGCCTAGAATCAGTCGCTGCTATATAGTATCTGTCATTCCAGGCCCCTGTCATTATCTTAACCTCTCACTTGTAATCACCAAATATTATTTCCTTTATCTCCTTAATGTATTTCTCAAACCTGTATTTTATCTTCCATATAAACACTTTTAATATGGCTTACTAGCCTTCATTTAGACTTTTCACTAAGGGCTATTCCTAACATTTTCAGGGCCTAGGACAGAGTATAAATGGAGGTCCCAGGGCCTCCCTGGTAGCATCTGATTACAATGCGGGAGACCCAGGTTTGATCCCTGGGGCACAAGATCCCCTGGAGAAGGAAATGGCAACCCACTCCAGTATTCTTGCCTGGAAAATCCCATGGACTGAGGATCCTGGTAGGCTACCGTCTGTGGGGTCACAAGGAGTCGGACAGGACGGAGAGACTTCACTCACTCACTCAATCTAAGATTCAGCCTTTCTCAAGTTGGCGCCCCCTTCTTGCACTGTGAGGGGTCTCTGATGCCTGTAAATGGATAGCTCAACCTACACACCCAAATCATATCCCCTGTAACCCTTAGCCCCACTCCGCTGAACTCTGGCCTAAAAGTGGACACCTCAGCAGTATAGACTATTGTCGAGAGTATGGACTAGGAAAAGCCCTGAAAGGAGTGTTGGCCCAGGGAGTTCTGGGCACCAGTTCCTGGAGCATGATTTAGACGGGGTGGGGAGGAGCTCACATTCAGCATACTGTCTCAGCCCTGCAGTTCCCCCTCTAGTAGAGAGAGGCACACCCAGAGGACGGCAAGAGCATGGCCTTTCACGGTGTGGGAGCCAGGCAGGAGTGCCACTTGCTCAAGTGATGCTGACTGCGGTGGCCTCCAGCCTGCATTCTCACACACCTTTAGTGTTTTATCCAGCCTCAGCCCAGTCATCCACCTGAAATACAAACGTGACTTGTCTCTTTCCTTCTTGAAAGAGACTTGATAGTATCTGCTCATCATGTACAATGTACAAGGTCTAAACCCCTTCATATAGTGTACAAGTCTAGCCATAGTCTATCCAATTCTCCACACTTTATGTCTTGCCCTCCTCCTTCACAAGCTGCTGAGGTTGTCTGGATACCTCAGACTTCTTCATGTCCCCACATCATTCCTATGATGCTGCCTTTGCCGGGAAACCCCTTCAGTGCCCCCACCCTTCTTATTTTGTTTCTTAAGAGTTTGCTCTGGAATTTCTCCTCACAGCCTTCCCTGACTGTACCCACAGTCCTGGGCTGGTTAGCTGTTCTTTCTTTCCATACCACTGTACACGCTTCTGCGATAATCCTCACCATTTTGTATGGACATGACCTCTCTGAATGTCTATTTCTACTATAGTTTAAGACAGAGGAACTGTATCATACTTGGTTATACTTCTATTTATAGAACAATGCCCAGTACATATTAGGTGCTCGGAAACTGTTGGGACTGAACTGATGGTAATGTGTGTTGTCAATTCCCACTCAGCCCTGTGTAAATCAGATTAGCTTGTTTTTGTTCCCTGCTTTGATCAGTGGCCTAAAAGTAATTCATAAATAGCTAGTATTGTCTGGGTACTTAAGAGTATTTGATGTAATATAATTTGACTTCTACATGTGATCACATTGCTTTCCTGCTTTAAAAAAAAGACAAGAAAAACAGCTTCGTGTCTCTAGAGAATGTGGACCCATCAAATTTTTTACTAGGGAAGCTGCCAGGGAGAGACTTCTTTTTATAATATAACAATCAATACTTTGCTTGTATTTGTTTTACAAATTCAGCTGCTCAGTAAGATTTACTTCAAATATAAGGCCAAGAGTCAACACATGCTTTAAAAATTGTATCCTGAAAATTAAAGTCTAATTTTGACTTTTAAAATCTTTTGCTCTATCCAAAATTTCTGTTTCCCATGCATGCCACTTACATTCCCAGCTCCTTTCATTCAGTATTGTTTCTCCCTGGACTCAAAAGCCGAGCCCTCTTCTCTGCTCTGAGGAGGGTACATCCTAGGTTTAAACTCGAGTCCTTTTACTCCTTAAATGGAAGGCTCTGCCTTGCTTTCTCTGAGATGAATTGTTCAATTTAGTAGAAGAATGGTATATTTTAATTTTTTTAAATAAAATATTTAACATATTTTAATCTTGTTTATAAAAATATCTGGTGGATTTAATTAATTTAACATATGTTATGATGTTTTAAAAGAAATTTTATGCCCAGAACCACCAAAAGTTGACCATGGGATGATTCAAGAGAAACAAGACAGTTATGCATACGGACAATCTGTAACATATAAATGTATGGAAGGCTTCGCCCTACATGGAGAGAGCTCTATCAATTGTACCGTAGAAGATGACCAAGGAGTGTGGAGTGGCCCCCTACCTCAATGCAGAGGTAATCAGTTTGCGAAGTTACATTTCTGTTTATCCTTACCCTTGGGTCTGTATATGGGCTTCAGAGAGTATACAAACTCCCTGAGAAATGAATGTAAAATGTTGTACATATGCATATTTGCATTTTTCTGGGGAATAGACTCTACGAGGGGGCCTATGACTTCCAAAAAGGAAGAAGCACCGATGTGGAGAACATATGTTATTGCTGTTGTTGTTTAGTTGCTTAGTCGTGTCTTAACTCTTTGCAACCCCATGGACCGTAGCCTGCCAGACTCCTCTGTCCATGGGATCCTCCAGGCAAGAATACTGGAATGGGTTGCCATTTGCTTCTCCAGGGGGTCTTCCCAACCCAGGAATCAAACTTGAGTCTCCGCTTCTCCTGCATTACAGGCAGATTCTTTTACTGCTGAGCCACCGTATGGTAAAATACAAATAATACACACATAACCTCTGTGAGTATATGTATTTGTGTAATAGTGCAGGTGTGTGCATACTCAGTCACGTCTGACTCTTTGTGACCCTATGGATTACAGCCCACCAGGCTCCTCTGTCCATGGGATTCTCTAGGCAAGAATACTGGAGTGGGTTGCCCTTTCCTCTTCCAGGGGATCTTCCTGACCCAATGATCAAACCCAGGTCTCCTGTGTCTCCTGCATTGCATGTGGATTCTTTACTGCTTGACCTGCAGAGTAGGATGGAGATGTATTTTACATACATATATATTTTATATGCACACACGTATGTCTTGTGTTTTTAGTGAATTAGCTTATATTTGCTGATTCTTACTATGTTACTTTCAATAAGTTAATATAGATATATTCTTGTTTATAAAAAAATTGTATAAATTGGTTTATTTAATTGAGAGGAAATCTTAGATTGAACTGGAGGATCTAAATAATGATCTTGTATGTTGTGACAACAAAGAGAAACTCTTGCCTACCTGTTGACTTCATTGAATTGTATTGTTTTCTCCCTCCAGAATTTCTCTCTTATTGACAATGTTCTCTTCTTTACATTTCTAGAAATTTCCTAGGAGGTGGCATTTATTTAAGCAGTATCATATTCAAATGCCAGTATAACTCAAACAAATGCTACTTTTATAATTATACTTGAATTTTATTAGCATGGTTTTTAAATAACATTGCTTATTAATAGTAATTTTTTCATATAAGTGGTATACATGAATATTATGAAGTAGTGTTAAAACTAGGCTTCCCAGGTAGCTCATCTGGTGAAGAATCTACCTGCAATGTAGAAGACCTCAGTTTGATTCCTGGGTTGGGAAGTTCCCCTGGAGAAGGGATAGGCTACCCACTCCAGTATTCTTGGGCTTCCCTGGTAGCTCAGACAGTAAGGAACCCACCTTCAATGCAGGAGACCTGGGTTTGATCCCTGGATTGGGAAGATCCTGTGGAGGAGGGCATGGCAACCCACTCCAGTATTCTTGTCTGGTGAATCCCCATGGACAGAGGATCCTGTCGGGCTACAGTCCATGGGGTCACAGAGAGTCGGACATGACTGAGTGATTAAGAACAGCACAATGTTAAAACCATGTTGATGATTATATAAAATGAGAAGCAAAAGTCTCTTCTAGTCCTACCCTCAGAAGTAGCCACTGTTTACAAATTTTTGTGTTTTATTCTAGGAAATAAATATACATACACATATTTCTTTTCAAAATCATATTAATTATATGGATATATTATTTATTTAACCAGTCTCCTGTTGAAGGGAATTTAGTATCTGTACTAGTTTTTAAAAAATTATTTTTAAAAAGTCCTACAGTAAATATTATTGTGTTCCTTATATCTGTGCAAGTACATTTTTTACAATAAATTCCTTGCAGTGTAATTACAATATCAAAGATATATGCATTCAGACTTTTGATAGATGTTACCAATATTGTTTCAAAAGAAACGGTACCAATTTACTGTCCCAGTAATATTGCATATTTGTTCTCTGTATCATTAATGATAACGGTTATTATGATGTGGAGATGTGATAGTTAAAGTGTGGAAATTTCATTTAATTGTTTGAATTCATTTAAAGGGAGTAAATTTTGATATTTTAAAATTTAGCCATATGATCCACTTCATATTTATTTCCCCTATTTTATTAAATAATCAGCTATTTAGAATTTATAATTCTGTGGTAATGCTCAAGGATGTCATGGCAGGCCAATGCTGGCATGACAATAACTACAAAACCTGGGTAGATTATTTTTAAAAGCCATATTTTAAAGGCAAAAATTGTTCCCTCAGGGAAATAACTAGGGCTGAATGAACTAAAATTCCAAGTGAAGGCAAACGATTCTGATGTGCACGTAGGCTGAGGATCTGTCTTGAACCAGATAAAAGACCATTGCTCTTGGTCGTTGTGGTTAGCTAGGATAACACACTAGAAACTGGAAATTCTCAAATGCTGACCCAGTTTTTCCTAAGAGCCATTTGCCGATTTCTAGGAATGCAGATGAGACTGGGGAGCTGGACCCCAAGCTGCCAAAGTACAAAATGAGATCTTCCTGACCCTTATGGTATTTGGACAACAGACCCATCACAAGAACAGGCTTGTATCAAGCATACAGCCAGCATCCTTCTTATAACATTTAAGCTCATTTTGAAGCTTTGTGGAGAGAGAGGTTGTGTTGCTAGAGAGAGCACTGCTGAAGCATAGACTTGGATCGCCCACAGTCTCTCAAGGCTGAGGAAGAAAGAACTGCTTCCAAGAAGCAGAGGCAAGAGCAGAAGTAGGCTGTGTCATATGGGAAAACTGTAACCCAGCTTGGTCCTCATGGGTCAGGATGTGGTCACCGCAAACCAGTCTGCCTATCAGAAGAGGGTACTCTCCCTTTGGAAGATCATATCATCTGAATGTTATACAATGTATTGCATATAATAAAAATTATGAGATGTGGAGAGATGTAAGAAATTATAACCAAATTGGGAGAAATGAAAAGCAAATAAGAAAAATCTAGATAATTGAGTTAGCAGACAAGGACTTTAAGTGATTAATATATTCAAGATACTAACAGAAAAGATAGAGAACTTCAGCAGAGATTTGGAGTCTATAAAATGGAGTAAAATAGACATTCTTCAATAGGAAAATATAGTAGCTGAGCAGCACAGTAGACAGGTTTAACAGCAATTTGGACATAGCAGGAGATGGTAGATGGAAGAAAGGTTAATTAAAACTGAAGGACAAAGAGAAAAATAAAGTAAAATACAGACCAAATTTGAGGACATTTGAGATATGACTGTTCTAATTATGATAAAAAAAAATAGGGGAGAGAAAGAGAGAGAGGGAGAGAAGTGTAAGAAATATACTAAGAGATAATGACTGAAAAATTTCCCAAAGTGATGAAGTATATCAACCAAGAGATTCCAAAAACCTTCAGAACTCTAAGCAGAATAAAAACAAAATCATGTCCAGGCAAATAAAAACCAAATCATCTCCAGGCACCTCATAGCAAAACTTTTTGGAAACTCATTCATTCTACAGATGAGAAAACTGAAGCTTAGAGAAGTTGATAGCAGTCTCTAATAATGTGGTCAAACAGGCTTACACACTGCTCAGTACTGCCTTATGAGGGATTGGATCAGCAATCCAAAGTCAAATAGACCTAAAATTTTAATGTTAGATTGGCGACTCTCAGAATAAGGTCTTCACTAAATTTGCACTTCAGATATTTGTTATCTCACCTAAAATCCAAAGAGGAACTAAACTATTTTTCTATGTAAAGTTGGTAACCAACACAAGAGGAGAAAAGGGATTTACTGTAGTCTGATTGAATTTACTGCCTTAAAAGAGAAGTGAAACAAAACAAGTTCCCAAGGTCACTAACATGTCCTGACTGCTTTGGAAAAAGTGACTATGTTGTGCTTATCTTTGTTGGTTCAAGGTTGCATCCTGTTCTTCTTTGGTCTTGGCATGAGGGAAAGAGGACAATTTATGAGAAAAACTCTTTATTTGAGGGGTATTAAGAATGAGATCACTGCCAGTTCTGACTTTGATTTCCTTTTTCAAATAGAAAACAGTTTTAGGAATCTCAATATTACTTTGGTGTTGCCTATAGGTGCAACTTATTTCAAAGCAAAGATAATATATAGCATTTCAGTTCCTTGGGAAAGACATGAGAATACTTGGTTTCCTAAAAGTCTTACTTAGATATTTGTGGGGAAAGAGAAGAGTCAGAACAAACAGTTGGTTCCTAAATCTTAACTTGGACAGCATTATTTACCTAATTTTATTATAACATTTTTCTTCTACAGAAACTTTTTACAATGTCATACCAACAGTTCTGAAATCCATTGAAGTAAATGTTCCAGGTACCAAAGTCTTATCAACTCCTCAGAAACCCACCACTGTAAATGTTTCAGCTACAGAAACCCCACCAACTCCTCAGAAACCCACCACTGTAAATATTTCAGCTACAGAGACCCCACCAACTCCTCAGAAACCCACCACTGTAAATGTTCCAGCTACAGAAACCTCACCAACTCCTCAGAAACCCACCACAGTGAATGTTCCAGCTACAGAAACCCCATCAACTCCTCAGAAACTCATCACAATAAATTCTTCAGCTACAAAGCCCACACTAGTTTCTCAGACATACACCACTGTAAATGTTCCAGCTACAAAGGTCCCATCACCTTCTCAGAAACCTTCCACAGCAAATGATTCCGCCACGACAGCCTGGAATTCCCCAATATCAAACACTGTCTCTACAGCAGCTCAGAATCCCATCATGGCAAATGCTTCTACAACCACACCAACAACCCAAAGATTCACCCCAGCAAAATCTTTACTTACACAGAATCTTAAAGCTACACAGAAGCCCACTTCTATACATACGACTGAGGGTCTCCGTATAACACACAGATTGACCTCTGCTCATGTTACAGCAGCAAAAAGCACAGCTGTTCCCAGGACGAGCCCGCGTTTTCATAAAACAGGCACACCTAAAGGAAGAGGAAGCGCTCCTTCAGGTCAGTTGACTCAGTTCAGGTTTCCACATATGGCTTTTATGTGCCATGGTAGAAATTTCAAATTCATCAGGGTTAAAAAATTAAGTAGTCTCTGGTTTATTGTAGGGAGAGTTTCTTCATAGCAATGTTCCGACTTTCTACAGAGGCTAACTTTGGATTGTGCTAGAGCATACCTTTAAGAAAGAAATATTTTTGCAATGATATAGAAAAAGGTTGTGGTGTCATAAAAGCAATTCTAAATTAAGGTCAGTAAAAAAAATGCTGCTTTTCATGTTAGCTTTAGGGAGTCACTGAATTCCTCATGATCCTTCAAAGAACCAAGTATGTATAATCCTTTAGGTTGATTTCTAGGTCTGATTCAATGACAGCGACCCATCCCTCAAGCATGCTAAAGGAACTCTCCAGATTCCCTAGAGTTGCTGATTTGGTTAAGTACCTTAATAGTATCTTCTAAGTAATTAAAAACACAGAGTTCTTTGAAATCTTTCAGGTTAACTCTTTAAATGACAGTTTTTATGAAAGCAGAGTAACATATGCTTTAGATTTAAGGAAAACTTACTGAGTGAATGAAACCCATCTAACTAATTAATGCTTTTTCAGACCACCAGGATATCTTCTTATTTTACAACTTGCTTAATGAATAGCCATTTTTATAGACACTCTTGTTCTCTAATAGAGATATGTGGATTTTTGGTTGTTTTTATCCATTTGTTTTTATATATATAATCTCAATAGGACTGAGCCAAGAGATAATTTTTTAAATTATTTTAACTTTTCACTGACATCAGCACACAGAAAATTGTAAAAAATATACATAAAGGCTTAATAACTTTCCTAAGGCAAATATCAGTGTAACTACCACATATGTCAAGGAATAGAGCAGCATCAGCCCCTCAATTTCCAGATGCTCTGTCAATTCTGAACTCTGTTCTCTGACTTCTCCAGCTGGTGAAACTGGCTTTCCGCTCTCTATGCCAAGTGGCCTAGGGATTTCTCCCTGCTGCATGCAGGCAGATCCCACTCCCTGCAGCTCATCTGCTGCCTGAGCTCTCTCAGTTTTGATTTATTTCTTCCTGAGTTAGTTTGTTCTTCCATGTCTTCAGATAGTTATCATTGTCGATTTTTCAGTACGTTGTCCAGATTTCATAAATTGCCATACTCAAGCTCATTTGGCCATTAGCCACAATCTTTAAGAATTTAAAACATTACAGATACTATTGTTGAAATTTCATTTGTATGTTTCTTTATTCCTTTAGGTAAAAGGTCAAATACACAAAATCTCACTCCAATTAGTTCCCCTTTTTAAAAAGCGAACTTCAATTCCTGCCTGCTTCTTTAAAAAAATTTTTTTTATCAAAGTATAGTTGATTTACAATGTTGTGTTCATTTCTTCCATACGGCAAAGTGACTCAGCTTGTATGTATAAATCCCAACCTTCTAATTTCTCTCTCCCTCCAACCTTTCCCCTTTGGTAACCATAAATTTTGTGTTCTAAGTCTGTGAGTCTGTTTCTGTTTTGTAAATAAATTCATTTGTGTAATTTTCTTTTTTTAAGATTTCACAATATGTGCTATGATATGATAGTTCTCTTTGTCTGACTTACTTCACGCAATGTGACAATCTAAAGGTTCATCTATTTTGCTGCAAATGACATTATTTCATTCTTTTTATGGCTGAGTAATATTCCCTTGTATACATGTACCACATCTTCATGTATACATGTCCATCTTCTGCTGATGGACATTTAGGCTGCCTCCATGTCTTCTCTATTGTGAATAGTGCTGCAGTGAACATTGGGGTGCATGTATCTTTCCATATTAGAATTTTTATCTTTTCTGGATCTATATTCAGGAGTATTGGATCATATGGCAACTGGACTTTATTGGTAGCTCAGCTGGTAAAGAATCCGCCTGCAATGCAGGAGACCCCGGTTTGATGCCTGGGTCAGGAAGATCCCCTGGAGAAGGGATAGGCTACCCACTCCAGTATTCTTGGGCTTTCCTGGTGGCTCAGATGGTAAAGAATTTGCCTACAGTGCAGGAGACCTGGGTTCGATCCTTGGGTTGGAAAGATCACCTGGAGGAGGGCATGGGAACCCACTACAGTGATCTTGTCTGGAGAATCCCCATGGACAGAGCAGCCTGGCAGGTGTCCATGGGTCGCAGAGTCGGGCACGACTGAGCGACCAAGCGCACACACAGCAACACTATTCTAGGTTTTTAAGGACCCTCCATGCTGTTCTCCATGGTGGCTGTACCAATTTGCATTCCCATCAACAGTGTGGAATGGTTCCCTTTTCTCCACACCCTCTCCAGCATTTACTGTTTGTAGACTTTTTGATGATGGCCATTCTGATCGGTGTGAGATAGTACCTCACTGTGCAAGCTTCCTCTCTGTGTTTTTATTCTTATGCTACATTACTGCTTTGCATGTTTTTTATAATTTGTGTAAACAGTATGTCATATGTTTCATTACCTAACTTGACTTTTTGCACTCAACATTGCTTTTGTGGCTTATATTGATCCAATTAGATTCAGTTCATTAATTTTAACATTTATATGTGATTATTGACTTCTTAAAATTTTATAACATCTCTGGCACTAAAAATTTTTGGTTGAATATATAGGTTTAATAGGGCAAAGTGAAGAGAAACAAGCTCACTTAGTATAAATTTGTTATAGAGCTAACTGTGTTGAAATACTTTTTTTCTGCATGAATATAAGATAATTAACAAATTTAACTTTAACTTTTCAATTATTTTAAATGATTATAATAAAAATACAGTGAACATTTGGGATAGAATTTCTCTCTTATATACAATTAATTTACCCTTTAAATACTGTATGCCTTTTCTGCTCTTATTGAAAAAATAGTAGTAGCTATTACTGAGTGTGATCCATAGTAGCATGTACCATGCACCTTCCATTTGTCAGTATTAGTCCTTACAGTAACCTTGATTTGCCATCAAGTCATATAACCAAATTTATATAGTGTTTATTTCAGTATTCAATAACTCTTTAGTCACATTTTATGTTTCTATTGTTGGCTGACTTTGTTTAATAGAAAGAAAAGAAAGTGAACTCGCTCAGTCGTGTCTGACTCTTTGCGACCTCATGGACTGTAGCGTACCAGGATCCTCAGTCCATGGGATTTTCCAGGCAATAATACTGGAGTGGGTTGCCATTTCCTTCTCCAGGGGATCTTCCTGACCCAGGGATCGAACATGGATTTTGTGGCTTATATTGATCCAATTAGATTCAGTTCATTAATTTTAACATTTATATGTGATTATTGACTTCTTAAAATTTTATAACATCTCTGGCCCTAAAAATTTTTGGTTGAATATATAGGTTTAATAGGGCAAAGTGAGGAGAAACAAGCTCACTTAGTATAAATTTGTTATAGAGCTAACTGTGTTGAAATACTTTTTTTCTGCATGAATATAAGATAATTTAACAAATTTAACTTAAACTTTTCAATTATTTTAAATGATTATAATAAAAATACAGTGAACATTTGGGATAGAATTTCTCTCTTATATACAATTAATTTACCCTTTAAATATTGTATGCCTTTTCTGCTCTTATTGAAAAAATAGTAGTAGCTTACTGAGTGTGATCCATAGTAGCATGTACCATGCACCTTCCATTTGTCAGTATTAGTCCTTACAGTAACCTTGATTTGCCATCAAGTCATATAATCAAATTTATATAGTGTTTATTTCAGTATTCAATAACTCTTTAGTCGCATTATATGTTTCTATTGTTGGCTGACTTTGTTTAATAGAAAGAAAAGAAAATGAACTCGCTCAGTCGTGTCCGACTCTTTGCGACCTCATGGACTGTAGCGTACCAGGATCCTCAGTCCATGGGATTTTCCAGGCAATAATACTAGAGTGGGTTGCCATTTCCTTCTCCAGGGGATCTTCCTGACCCAGGGATCGAACATGGGTCTCCTGCATTGTAGGCAGACGCTTTACCGTCTGAGCTACCAGGGAAGCCCTTGTTTAATAGAGATAGATACTGATGTGTGTTACTTGATTGTTAGTAATATGATTGCTTTCATTAATTTATTTATAATTGTTTCTTTTAGTTACTTTTGAACTTTAAGTACAGTTGATTGATAAACATATATTTATTAAGTTGCTAGCAAATCAATGACTTTAAAGCATTTTACTTTTGTAATTCTTTCCTTTTTTTCTTCTTTAGTTGCTAGCATCATTGCATCGGGTAAGTGTGTCTCTCTGAGAGTTCGCAGAATTTGTCATCGCTTTTGGATATATAATTCCTGGAAAAGAATATTGTTTCTTTACTGTCCTTGTTGTTGCTGTTCAGTCACTAAGGCGTGACCAACTCTTTGTGATCCCATGGACTGTAGCATGTCAAGCTCCTCTGCCCTCCACTATCTCCCAGAGTTTGGTCAAATTCATGTCCATTGAGTTGGTGATACTGTCTTAGGGATACTATCAGAATACAGTATGTGTGGGTGCCAAAGAGAAAACAGGTAAAGGCATCTTATTGACATGTTTGTGGGCACCATTAGGTACTCAGTATGTTAGAGTACTCAGTATGTTAACATTTCCCACCATGTTCTTGTTCCAGGGTAATTTTAGGACAACTTCAAATCATTTGGCCAATCAGTCAAGTATTATGGCATGCCTAGTGGCTCACTGCATCTCATTCTAGTGCCTAAGAATCACAAGAGGAGAGAGTTATCAATACAGTTTCTATCCTCAAGTGTTTTATAATTAATCATAAACTACTCTGACTATTTCTAGATTTGTCCTATCTCAAGTAAAACAAAGAATGTTACTTTTGGTTATATCTTCTTCCTTTTCCCTTCCCTGTCAGTGGTTTAAAGTAAAGTTTCTCCAAAAAATACTCTGTTGTTGTGAGCATGAGACCAAAAACATACCTGTTGCAATTTCTTCTATCATTCGGTCCAGTCCTTTTTTGTTTGTAAATATATCATCTGATGTTATGTATTAACAAGATTAATGAGATGGTGAAAGAAATGTCTGTTAAGAAGCAATACAGCTAAATTGGCATATTGATAAGTAATGTCTAATGGAAAATACACTTATAAAAATTTTTAAAAAGCACTTTGATTTATGTGTTTATAAGCTAAAAGCTCATCTTATGCATGCATGAATTAGCCATATGACTATGAAACTGAAAGTAATACTTGCTTTTATTATTTTCATTGTTACTTATTACAGTTTTTATGTTTTAGGCAAACCTCTTTTAAGCTAAAAGATTTATTTTGAAAGATTCCAACAGTTGCAATTCACTTTGTCCTTCCTATATTTTAAATAAAAATAAATACATTCTAAGTGAAAATCTCATGATCTAATGGCTTAATGACATTTTTAATAGACGAACTTAAAATTTAATAGATAAGCCTTTTCTTACCAGCTCAGTGGCATTCAGTGAAGATTTGAGGTGCTTATTATTTTCTCTAAAATTCTTTAAGTATATATTGTGTGATTTTTCCAGAAACTTTCCCTTAGGGTTAGTTATAATTCCAACCTGTGCTCAAAAATAAAGAGCAATTCCTTCCCTCTTATATCAGACATATGATAATATTTTTCTTTGGGATCTTATACTTGTAAAACACAAACCTGAAAATTATCTTTACTTCTTAAATGTAGTCTGTGAATGAGGTCACTTTTCTCATTTTAAAGATAAACTCTACAACAAGGAAATTGCTTTTATTGATTCTACTGCAAAGGACATGAGTGACACAAATGATATTGGAACTTTGCATTTGAATGCAAAAACTTTGAATATTTTCCTGTTTAATTTTGCCAAGAAATAGAGACTGACTGCTCATCTCAGAGCTTTATCTGCTGTGTAAGTGAAGCCTGCCTTGTGGTTTTCTTCAAACATTTTATTTGTTTATTTGTTTTTGACTGCGTCAGGCCTCAGTTGCCACCTGTGAGATCTTCATTGTGGTGCGAGGGCTTTACAGTTTGCTGCCCATGGGCATCTGACTGAGGCCTAGTTGCCCCAAAGCATGTGGGATCTTTAGTTCCCTGTCCCGGGATCAAACCTGCATTCCCTGCTTTGGAAGGCAGATTCTTAACCTCTGGACCTCCAGGGATATCGCTATGAGGTGATTTGTAAAGCTATTCTCTGCTGTGTACTAGTGTATTTTCCAAAAACAATTTTTTTCCTTTTTTTTTTCATTATTACCCTCTCCCCCTCAAGGATCTTGTAAGGCTTTTTCCCCCTAATCATCCCTATAAAATAGTAATACTACAGATATAATATAAATCTATTTATGTACTGTATGCACATCTGTACTTTATATGTAAAAAAGTAAAAAAAACACTTTTCCCCCTTTAGGGATGATATGAACCCCACTGAGAATACATGCTGTATATAATTGTGGGGTTTTCTGTCTGTTTTTGTTGACAGTATTTTATAGAAGGACGACTTGTGCTTTGGAATCAGGCAGACCTTGGTTTCAATCCTGTTTTGGATTTTTTTTTTCTTTCCATTTAGTAATTACTCAACCCAAGTGATTTACTTAATCTCTCTGAGTCTCAATTTTCTCATTTATGAGATGGTGATCATGATTCCTGTTTAAAGTCTTGGAAGCTTAATGAAATAATGGTTGTGAAAACTACTTGGCATAGTGCTAAAAATTGGGTAAATCTCAGCTTTAAGAATTCTTTTTTATTTTGTCACTGTCATCTTTCTGAGATGGATGTCTGACAATTTTATCGCTCCCTCTGGCCACACCAAAGAATCAGATGGTCCTTTATTAGAGTGACATGTGCGTGTTGGGTCGTGGTGAGGACTGCATGGAAACCTGCCTGTGTGTTATTTCACTTACTTCTCACACCGGCCCTGTAGTGTAGCTGTGTCCCACCTTGTAACTTAGAGAACTGAGGCTGTGCGAGACTCTTAACTTGCTCAAGGTCACATGGCATTCGGCACTTGAATAGAGGGAGGTGATTAGTTTCTTCAGCACTCAGCGCTTGAAAGGGCAGAAAAATTCTCCTAGAGCTGTACAGCTCAAATTTAACAATTAAGATAGTCCTGATTATTTATAAGTGTTGCTTTTATTCCCTTCAATAAAGCAGAAATAGATGTTTTTGTGGAACTCTCTTGCTTTTTCCATGATCCAGCGGATGTTGGCAATTTAATCTCTGGTTCCGCTGCCTTTTCTAAAACCAGCTTGAACATCTGGAAGTTCACGGTTCATGTTTTGCTGAAGCCTGGCTTGGAGAATTTTGAGCATTACTTTAGTAGCGTGTGAGATGAGTGCAATTGTGTGGTAGTTTGAGCATTCTTTGGCATTGACCTGTCTCTTGAGAAACCTGTATGCAGGTCAGGAAGCAACAGTTAGAACTGGACATGGAACAACAGACTGGTTCCAAATAGGAAAAGGAGTATGTCAAGGTTGTATATTGCCACCCTGCTTATTTAACTTATATGAAGAGTACATCATGAGAAACGCCAGGTTGGAGGAAGCACAAGCTGGAATCAAGATTGCCGGGAGAAATATCAGTAACCTCAGATATGCAGATGACACCACCCTTATGGCAGAAAGTGAAGAGGAAATAAAAAGCCTCTTGATGAAAGTGAAGGAGGAGAGTGAAAAAGTTGGCTTAAAACTCAACATTCAGAAAACTAAGATCATGGCATCTGGTCCCATCACTTCATGGGAAATAGGTGGAGAAAGAGTAGAAACAGTGTAAGACTTTATTTTTGGAGGCTCCAAAATCACTGCAGATGTTGATTGCAGCCATGAAATTAAAAGACACTTACTCCTTGCAAGGAAATTTATGACCAACCTAGACAGCATATTAAAAATCGGAGACATTACTTTGCCAACAAAGGTCCGTCTAGTCAAGGCAATGTTTTTCCACTGGTCATGTATGGATGTGAGAGTTGGCCAGTGAAGAAAGCTGAGCACCGAAGAATTGATGCTTTTCAACTCTGGTGTTGGAAAAGACTCTTGAGAGTTTTCCCTTGGACTGCAAGGAGGTCCAGCCAGTCCATCCTAAAGGAAATCAGTCCTGGGTGTTCATTGGAAGGACTGAAGCTGAAGCTGAAACTCCAATACTTTGGCCACATCATGTGAAGAGTTGACTCATTAGAAAAGACTCTGATGCTGGGAGGGATTGTGGGCAGGAGGAGAAGGGGACGACAGAGGATGAGATGGTTGGATGGCATCACTGACTCGATGGACATGGGTTTGGGTGGACTCTGGGAGTCGGTGATGGACAGGGAGGCCTGGCGTGCTGCGGTTCATGGAGTCGCAAAGAGTCGGACATGACTGAGCTACTGACCTAACCTGACCTTTATTCCCTTCATTGCTGAAATCCTATGTTGTGACACTCATAAGCTGCTTGTAGCAATTAGCAATAGTAAAGAAAAAAAATTAAGAGAATGCTCAGTGAAATATCTAAAGTACTTTTTCTTTTAAACATCATATGCTTATTTACTTATGCTTTTATGTCAAATAGGATTATAAGGAAGAACACAACCTGCTCACAGCTTTCTTAGTTTTTCACAGTATAAAAAGTGCATTTCCACTTCATGGCATGTGTATAATTGAGGCCTTTTGAAATGACCGGGTAAATCCACATTTTTCTGGAAAGGAGGCAAGCCTCATTCTGATTTGGGTTGTTCAGGAATGGAGATAATACTCTATATATTAATATAATACCCATCTAATACAAATTTAGTTTGAGTAATCTCAGGTATTTTTATTGAGAATATTACGAACAGTTAAAATCATGCATTTTTACTATTTATAAGTACCATGCCAGTTATTGGAGATAATGTGCTAATATGTGAGAAACTGCTTTGCACTGTTTTAAGTCCCGGGTAAATATATTTCTACATAATGGGGAACATTACTAAAATACTCGTTTTACTTAGAGAAAAACATTTCTAAAATTATGTGATTTTCCTACCCAAAAGCTCTTCAATGACACTGGAATCATCATCTTAATTTCACTTATAATATTATAGTTTCATTTATCCCAGGTTGTTGTTGTTGTTTAGTTGCTCCTAGTCTTTGCTGCTCCATGGACTATAGCACACCAGGCTTCCCTGTCCTCCACCATCGCCTGAAGTTTGGTTTGCTCAAGTTCACCTCTATTTAGTCAGTGATGCTGTCTAACCAAGTTGGCCTAAACTGTTTTAGTCTTAAATTAGTACTCATTCACCTTTGGGTGAATTTTAGATCATAAACTATTGCCTTTATAAAGTTTTCTTTGTTTTAATTTGCAAAATAGTATTCTCATTAATTATTAATTGAGGAATTATTTATTTAGAATTATACTTCTCATATTTCTGTAATGTGCATTGGTTTTCTGTTAAAACATAAACCTTCACACTTTCTTTTAGAATCACATATATGTGCTGACCAGTGTTCTAAGAATATTCCCACTTTTGTCATCCAGACATTTGGGATCACTTTAAAATTTTTCGATCTTCATTTATCATTCAAATTGAAAATGGGATTTTTCTGCAACATTTGAAAATGGTGGGATTAATGAGAAGTGGTAAAACAAAAAGAAACCCAAGTTTTCGAGGAGCCACGATTTATTAGTGCTGTCTTTCAAACTAATGCCTTGGTGCTAAGGAATCAAATAAATTGGGTAAAATACTGTAAATTCTGTGGTAGAAACAGCTGTTTTTAAAATTATGTATCCACATGACAGCTCAGTTATGCGACATTTATCGTATTTTGCTGATTTGAAACTGGACACACTTGTTAGTCATATTAGCTTCAGTTGCTTTTCTAGTATCATTTATGCTTTTCTTTGTAGTACAGATCAAAAACATAGAGTTCAAGGATTTGGGATGGTGTAGTGGGGAAGGAAAGGGATATGCAGGGTGGTGAGGAGAAAGAGCACTGATTGGTTTTAAGAAGAAAGTTTATGTGTAAAAATCAAGGTATAAAAATATTTTTTTACTGTTGATCAAATTATTTCATCAATTATTTGTTGTTGTTCAACTCAAAATAGTGCATTTAATATTGAAAGTAAATAACATTTTCCCTAAATGAAATTTTATCTGCAGTAGACCAAACACTGGAAAGCATTTCTGTAGTTTTACTCTCCAGGCCTAGGTACTGATGCCTTTCCTATGATGGAGAAAGGCCTACATCTCTGTTACCTTTACTATGAACGGAGTAAATGGCCTTGCCATTAGCCACATATGGAAGCTTCACCTTTCTGAGACTCAATTTAATTATCTACAAAATAAATGTGAACTCCAAGACATCTTCTAATGCTGAAATTGCACATAGTACAGTCAATATGTTTAAATAATCAGTGACCAAATAATTTAAAATTAAGCATGGTGGGGTTGAAACATTTTAGAATCCTCTCAAATCTGTAAGAGTTTATTTGAGCATTGTGATACTTCATTTTAAATATTTAATTTTCTCTTGAAAGAAGATAAATAACACGTAGATCTTACTATCAAACTTGTGACATAAGCAAGCAAGCAAAATATAATTCATGTCTCCTGTTTTTTCTTTAACTTACCTGATAATCAGTATGTTTGTCATTGTGAATTACACTGTATATGAAATTGCTCATTTCCTTATTGATTGACTTACCATTTTTCCCCCTCAAGGATGTGTTCCTGTTACTGTAATAATTTGTATCATAATTCTAATCAAAATTTCCCGAGACAGTGGAAAATCAGGGTGAGCAAAAATTCTGATGTTTTTAAAAAATTTGTTCTTAGCTTCTTTCCAGTAAAACTTGACACTATAACAGTAGATAACTTTCTAAGCTTAATTGTACTTTTTGACATGCTATATCTTTATTCCTTTTGTCTGTATTTACTATCTTGGATGAATAGCCTGTGTCTTTAAAAAAAAAATTTAGAAATCTCAGTATATACAAGAACATTAAGTGATTTGAAAGCCAAAGTCTCATCACAATCTATTGATCAACTCATCTTTTTTCTCTACTCAGTACAATTTATGAATATCTCTGTGTTGTACACAAGTGAAAATGTCTAGAAAAAGAAACTCTAATGTATTGTTAAATTGCATGTGACTAGGCCTATGAATAAATCGGATTTACTAATAGATGCCAGTCTAGCCAAAGTCAGCCCAGTGCTTAAGAGGGCAAGTTCTAGAACCTGGCTGCTTGATTCCATTTCAGGGTCTACTGTTTACATGCCATTTGACTGTAAGGAGCTTAATCTCTCTATGCCTCAATTTTCTCATTTGTAAAATGGGGGAAATAATAGTACCCACCTCATGGAATTGTAGTATCTGTTTTGTGGGATCAAATGAATCACCACCTGGAAAGGGGTTAGGATCTCACTTGGCACACAGTAAGCACTCAGGTGATAAAAAACAACACAGAAAGAAAAAGAAAATCAGTACTTGAAACGTCTGGTCTGCATTGAATATACATGTGTTAAATATAAAGTCATGGTTGGCTCTGATATATCCTGTAGACAGAGTAATATTTAAATTGACCTTCCGTTTTGTAGATTTTATCATTCAGAACACTAATTGTGGAGTTCACATAAACTGAATTCTTTCTGAAATGCCCTAATGCCTGTCTATTTTTTCATTGCTTAAGAACAATTGCTCATTTCCTTATTGATTGACTTACCATTTTTCCCCCTCAAGGATGTGTTCCTGTTACTGTAATAATTTGTATCATAATTCTAATCAAAATTTCCCGAGACAGTGGAAAATCAGGGTGAGCAAAAATTCTGATGTTTTTAAAAAATTTGTTCTTAGCTTCTTTCCAGTAAAACTTGACACTATAACAGTAGATAACTTTCTAAGCTTAATTGTACTTTTTGACATGCTATATCTTTATTCCTTTTGTCTGTATTTACTATCTTGGATGAATAGCCTGTGTCTTTAAAAAAAAAATTTAGAAATCTCAGTATATACAAGAACATTAAGTGATTTGAAAGCCAAAGTCTCATCACAATCTATTGATCAACTCATCTTTTTTCTCTACTCAGTACAATTTATGAATATCTCTGTGTTGTACACAAGTGAAAATGTCTAGAAAAAGAAACTCTAATGTATTGTTAAATTGCATGTGACTAGGCCTATGAATAAATCGGATTTACTAATAGATGCCAATCTAGCCAAAGTCAGCCCAGTGCTTAAGAGGGCAAGTTCTAGAACCTGGCTGCTTGATTCCATTTCAGGGTCTACTGTTTACATGCCATTTGACTGTAAGGAGCTTAATCTCTCTATGCCTCAATTTTCTCATTTGTAAAATGGGGGAAATAATAGTACCCACTTCATGGAATTGTAGTATCTGTTTTGTGGTATCAAATGAATCACCACCTGGAAAGGGGTTAGGATCTCACTTGGCACACAGTAAGCACTCAGGTGATAAAAAACAACACAGAAAGAAAAAGAAAATCAGTACTTGAAACGTCTGGTCTGCATTGAATATACATGTGTTAAATATAAAGTCATGGTTGGCTCTGATATATCCTGTAGACAGAGTAATATTTAAATTGACCTTCCGTTTTGTAGATTTTATCATTCAGAACACTAATTGTGGAGTTCACATAAACTGAATTCTTTCTGAAATGCCCTAATGCCTGTCTATTTTTTCATTGCTTAAGAACGATTATATTTTAATGCTGTTACTCATTGCCTTTTCAATTCTTTGGATGATGTATCTCCTTTTTAGCCTTCATGGCTCTTTCCCTTCTCTTTAAGTGAACAATGTTATTTAAGCCTTTTATAAGGTAAAGTATGAAAACATTCTTTAAATCACTAAGTAGTTCAGTCTTTTGTTAAAAGCATTTGGCCACTAGGTCCTATTTTTTTTGGGGGGGGGCAGGATTTATAGATATTTGTTTACTGCCAATAAAATATTCTAGATGCTTTAAGAGCAAATGTAGTAAAATATGACTTCTTCAGATTTTTCTGAAACTTTTAAAGAATGTGGTTTAGAGCTCAGTATAAATAACAGAATTCTAAGTCATATAAAGTGAGTTAAGTTGGTACAGATGCCTCCTCAAGACTATTTTGGAAAAAAGAATAAAAAATTATTTTTCTGTACTTCTTTACATATAGTCTAGCTCTGCTTTTGAATTGGAGCATTATCAGTATAATTCACAAGCCAATATTCCAGGGCTTGTTAGGTTGAGGGGGATGGAATGGAATGAGTTTGCTGGGGGCTTTCTCTTGGCTATGATAAGTTTCTTTAGATATTTTGGTAAAATAATTGACCATGATATTTTTAATAGAATGAAAAGTGCTGAAATGTAGAAGGAGGGAATATTTATGTTTTATTGGGATTTTTGCAGTAAATCTAATTCTTCTATTTCTATTTATATTCTGAATCAGAAAAAGTTCATGCAAATCCCTGAGAAAGAATTTGCTTTTTTTTTATGTCCATTTAAAAACACTCCACTTGCCTTATTTTGGAAGTATAAGCTGTTGAGTGTAAGAGGTAACTTTATACATTCCTTGTTATTTTCTCAATTTTATGTTGATTTAATTAAAATTTGATTTTTAATGAGACAGGGGAAAGAGTAAATGAGTGTGAAGGTGTCTCATACCTTCACCTGTTGATATTTTGTGTTTGCCTATCCAAGGATTTATTTACGTCTTTTAGAAGTGTTGGTATATATGATAAATTTTAGTGTATAAAAAGAATGTGATTGTAAACAAATGCTCATGTTGCTTTTTGATTGAGCTTTAAAGTTTCATAATTCAATCACTATTTTCTTTCTCCACTATTCAGCTCTTACTCCCCATGTGAGGACAAAACACATAGGTGTGATTCACTATAACTGGTGATGCTGCAGAAGTAAGACCTTTGATTTACAAAAGGTATATAGTTCAGTAAAATCACATTTCTCTGTCTTGGAAAATGTCAAGGATTTGACACAATTGGCTTGGTATCTATCTGTGACTATTAAAGGACAATAGAGTTTTAAAACTCTATTATTGTTAGAATTGTTTTTCTTTGTTGAATGATTGACTAACACATTGAATCTTTGTTAACATGACATGTTTTCAGCCCTCCACTCTTCAGCAGTATACCTATTGTCTCATTCTGTGTTTTGTACTCAGTTTATTGAAATGTTTGAATGTTCACAATCCTACAAATAATCTGGAAGAAGCAAAAGATTGATACATTAGGGCTTACAAATAGGAATGCCTTCATTGTGACTATTTGCATCATGAGATGGTTGACTCATACTGTATTTGCTTCTCCCATTTGCAATGTTTAAGAAATATCAAATCTATTTTAAAGAGTCTTTTATAAGTCATGTTTATAGATCTAATCTCTGTTAGGTTGTGAGTCAAAATTATCAAACAAAACTGGCTTAATATATATGTATGTGTGAAACTTTCTAGGTGTCTTCTTTTGATTAAACTTTCTTCCATTCCAGGAAGTTTTCATCGCTTTTTAATCTGAAATACCTTAGTTGAATCTAACTTGGCAATTTATCACAAGAAACTAAAAACTCAAGTGTCATATTTTAGTTGGTGTTGCTTAAAGAATCCACGTACAATATAGGAGACCTGGGTTTGATCCCTGAGTTGGGAAGAACCCCTGGAGAAGGGAATGGCTACCCCTCCAGTATTCTTGCCTGGAAAATCACGTGGACAGAGGAGTCTGGCAGGTTATCATGGAGTCACAAAGAGATGGATATGGCTGAGTGACACACTTTCATATCTGCTGCTGCTGCTGCCTGGTCGCTTCAGTCGTGTCCAACTCTGTGCAATCCTATGGACTGTAGCCCATGGGGTTCCTCTACCCATGAAATTCTCCAGGCAAGAATACTGGAGTGGGTTGCCATGCCCTTCTCCAGGGGATCTTTCCAACCCAGGGATTGAACCCAGGTCTCGGGCACTGCAGGCAGATTCTTTACCACTGAGCCACCAGGGAACTGTACTGGGTGGGATGGTCCATGCTGTATAACTTACTAACTTTGCATTTCTTTTGTACCCCAAATTAACCAACTATTCTATTTCATGATTTATCACATAGTAATTAAAAATGAATATATATCACCAGTAAGTAAAGTTATTTTGGTTTTAATTTTTTTTTCTCTTACTTTCAGGACATATGTATATAACATTGACAGTTTTGCTTATGATGCTAATAACCGTTGGCTAACTGAGCCAAAGAAGTTGAGAAGAAAGTGTTTTGCATGTTATCTTGTTTTTAAGATGCGTAGGAATGTCCACGAAGCAAGGAAAGATGAATCTGTCCTGGAATCACAGTCTCAACACTCCTAAGACCCTTGAAAATAGAACAATTCATAAGATTAAGAGTGATTACTTTCATAAAAGTGTGGGAAAGTGGAGAGATTTGTTCATGTTTAGAATGTGAGAAAAAAGAAAAAAAAACTGAATTTTTTCCACCAAATATGTAATGTTATTTTTATTTATAAAAACACAAAAAAATTAAAACAATTGGATATTGAAAACAAATGAACCAGTCTCTTATAAGGAAAATTGTCAAAGAGATAAAACACATTATACAATAATCTTCCTTGACTAAAGGGCATTTTTGCTTTTCTTATTCTATTAAGATGAGCCAGAATTAGTTGGCAAATTTTTTTAAAGGAAAAACATGCTGATGATCCAAGAGTGTTGAGTTTCTTGGGTTAGTTGGTGACAAAGGAGGAATAAAGAATGAAGGAATAATTCTTCCTTTTTCATACAAGCACAGATAGTGAATTAGCTCCTTATTTGTAAGATAGATCAGCTATAATTTTGTTCTTAGAACAATTTTTTCTATTTGAAAAAGAGCCCCCATGAAAGAGTGAAAGTTGTCTTAGATTTACTTAATGGCTTTAAAACTCTGTAGAGATATTATAATATTAATATAAGAAAAGATTCTATATTTCTGAAGTGAGATGTTCATATTCAAATTGTAAATCTTATTCTTTTGTAACATTAAGTTTAATTTATATTTATTTATGTTTTACATGTATATCAGAAAAAGGTCAAGGAGATATGTAAAGAAAAATTTATTTTCCCTACATAGAAATAACCACATTTTTGTCTCATGTGGTATTTGGCATTTATTTTCTTGTGTAAATTGTTTATAAATAAGGGAGTCCCTTCCTGCCTTTCATAGGAGTTTAGAGTGCTGCCCTTTGGCTTAGTGGGAATCACTTTTAATGTATGACTTGTTATTGATTTACCTAAAGACAATCACATCAGTTTCCAGATTCTTAATATGTTCTTGTCATCCTGCCAGTTACATGTTAAGTGTTGGAATAGACTAGAATATATGCATAAATAAATTTCACAATAATTATTTTGTCACATTGCTTCATTGACTTTGTTGTTCAGTTCAGTTCAATTCAGTCGCTCAGTCGTGTCCAACTCTTTGCAACCCCATGAGTCATGTCCCCTCTTTGCCAGGCCTCCCTGTCCATCACCAACTCCCGGAGTTTACCCAANTAATTTCATGGCTACAATTACCATCTGTAGTGATTTTAGAGCCCCCCAAAATAAAGTTTGTCACTGTTTCCATTGTTTCCCCATTTGTTGTTAAAGTGTTTTAAAATAAATTCCATAAGCATCATGACATTTCACTATAAATATTTAAATATGTATTTCCAACAATAAAGACTTTTTTCCTAACTAGCCACATCATCACAACTAATAAGATTAATGGTAATTTCCTAATAGTTTCTAATATTAGTAAATACTTTTAACTTCCTTAAAAGTCCTGCAAATAGGCCAATGTCTATCTACTAATTCATTCATTTGTTAAATAGGAGGACCTACTCTACCTGCTGTGACAGTCTGTGCTTCCTGGGGTAGCAGCAAGGATAATACTGATTTAGTTACTCAGAAAAATCCATAAGAGCCTACTACATGCAGGTTATCATGTGTTAGGTGCTGCAGCTACCAAATGACTGCACAGTATCTACCCACTTATCTACTTAGAAGAAGACCAAAGCCATACACTTATTGAGAGAAAGAATGTAGAGTTATAAGTGTTACACTTGTACGGAATATAAGGAGTTCTTAAGCCATTTTTGCTAGGTGGTGGGCTGGGATCATTCAAGACTGTTCATACTGAGAAAGGACAAATAGATGAGATTAACCTGGCAGGATTGGGGGCTGCAAATAGTGTAGCAAGCTCAAAGTAGGAAAGGCTTGGAGAGAGGACTATGGTGTGTCATGCGTAGTGTAAAATAATAAATTCTGGATAGTTTATTTTGATGTGATTAAAAGTCAGAATCAATGGTCACAAGTTTATAGTAGCAGGAGTTTTAGATATTGGGAAACATTAAACTTTGACAATAAGTTATACTGAGTCTTTACATCTTATTACTTAGGTAAGGGTATAAGCTGAAAAACATCTAACAATCAGTTACATGAAGAAAATAATTATAGAAATAAGTATTTTAAGTATAATGGGATTTTCCTGTATGACTTATAATTTTTATCCTGTAATCATGAAGCTGAATAGTTTTATATTTTCCCAAGGTAAGCTCTTCTATAATATTATACTTTAATTGCCAAGATTGTATTATTGCTTTTACCTTGAGACTGGTGCTTATTTGTTGTAGGAAATTATACTTGCTCACCACAGAAATTTGTGTTTTATAGTATTTAACCTACGATTGTTATCAAATTTCTTGGAACATTTGAACATTAATTGTTTTTGTCTTATCACACCTTGGCACTGATTTTTTAGTCAATGCCCAAAGTGGAAATGCCTTATCTTCCACACCCCCACTATGAGTGTTCCCTTCACCCCCTTGCCCGAATTAAAAACTGCCTCCTCCCTAAGGTTGGTGCTTCTTTTGCAGTCCACTCCAGTGGTGGCTGATTTGTTTTCAGACTACAGATGCTTCAGTGTTCAGAGGTGGTGGTGTTTTCCTTGCTTCTCCTTGCCACTACTTCCATCTCAGCTTTCCCATATATTATTTAAAAGATAATTATTCTTTTTACTCTGGTTGGGTAATTAACTAAAATGTTAATTTTTTTACCTGTAGTTTTTCCTCTCCCAATTTCAAAGAGCTAGCCAAATTTCAGTTCTTCCTTGCCACAGGGAACAACATGGAAGCAGAAAATTTAAAGAAGCTTAAAGACAGTTCTGTTCCTTGTTTTGTTTTTTCTCTGAAATTCTGTGCTCACGTCATAGACTAAGTTGTGCGAAGGAAGGTAGAATCAGAACCAGGAAGAGAGAAGATCCTTGTAAACAGAAAAGAAGACAGATGTTGCTCACAATCTAAAAGTTTCAAATCTAAGCATCCTGATGGTTTCTGGGGTGGGGAGGTAAGGGATGGGAAGTGAACCTTTTGAAGTTGGATATTTTGGAAGGTTAGCAGAATTTGTTAAAGGATTAGGTGTGCAGTTGAAAAAAAAAAAAAGGACTCAAGGATGACACCAAGATTTTTAACCTGAGCAACAGAAAGGAGGAGGTTGCCACTTACTGAGCAAGGGAAGACTTTTGTAACAGAAAGATCAGGAGTTTGTTTTTATACATGTTAAGTTTGAGATGCCTTTCAGACATCAAAGTGGACATGCATGAGTAGTCAAAAGTACAAATCTGGAGCTCGGGAGGTGACCAAGCTCGATATGCTTGGGAGTCATTGATAGGAGAACATAAGTCAGGGAACCCAAGAAAGCAAAATAAAGATTAATAGTCAACTTTTGGGTTGACAATACACAGGCTATTGGTGGCCTTGTCCAAAATTCTTCCAATACAGTTGTTGTGGGTAAAAGCCTGATTGAAAGAGAAACCTGACAGACACTACATTAGTCAACAGATCAAAGTCACATCACCGATCATGGGACAAGTAACATGAGTTGCTCCTGACAGATCACCTTGAGAAGAGCTCGGTATCAGCTGCATGGTTTAAAAATGCGAAATCTAGATCAATTTATGAGAAAGCATCAGAAAAAAGCAGTTCGAGGAACATTCTACAAAATAGCTAGCCTGTACTCTTCCAGAGTGTCGAGGTCATGAAAATCAAATACTGCCCTCCGCCCCCCGCAAATAATAAAGTGCAAAAATCTTTGAGATGGAATAGCAAAAAGCAATAGGAAAAAAACAAGGAAATCAAAAGTTAGGTCTTAAACAATACAACTGACAAAATTCCATTTTGACTGATAAAGAATAAAGAATAAAAGGCGAAGACAAGAATTACCAGTATCACAGTATCAGAATGTATCACCCTATAGAGCCTGGTCATTAAAAGAAAAATAAGATAATACTAATTTCGTGCCAATAAATTCAACATTATACCAATAAGTTCAACAAAAAATTAGGTAAAATGAATAAATTATTTGAAAACACAAATTATATAAAGTCTGATTCAATAAGAATACACAACTTGAATATCCCTATGTTTAAAAAAAGTTTTCAGTTAGAAATCTTTCCAAAAAGAAAATTTAGGCCCAGATGGTTTCACTAGTAAATTGTAACATTTAAGGAAGAAATTAGACCACTGTTACACAAATTCTTTTAGAAAATAGAGGAAGAGAGACTATTCCTAAACTCATTTTATGAGGCCAAAGACATCAGAAAAGAAAATTGTGAACCAAGATTCCTCATGAAAATAAACACAAATTAAAAATTTAATTGTTTTTAAATAAACAATTGTTTTTAAATTGTTTTTAAATAAACAATCCCATTTCCAGTAGCATACAAAACATGAAGTATTGAGACATACATTTTGCAAAAATGTGAAAGAACTCTATGAAGAAAACTATAAAACTTTGCTGAAAGAAATTACACATCTAAACAAATGATATATCGTTTTCATGAATTGGAACAGTTAGGGAAATTAAACTGGAGGAAACCTTGTTCAAGTTTCCTAAGCAGGAGAACAGGCCTCTAATCTTGCTTCTGACCTACCTGGACACTGCAGATTCCGTGCCTGTCTGCTAGTGAAGCTAGTCAAGCAACACTTTAGATAAGAAAGGGAGTAGGTCTTGAAATTCTTGAGCCCCTGGAGGTCTGGCCAACTGCACCCAGGGTTTAGTGAAATACTATGACTCACAAGATAAACCAAACTTTACACCATTGTAAATATGTTAAAGTAAAACCAGAGCTGCATTTTTGCATGCAAACTGATGATGATATCTGTTTGCAGCCTGGAATTATAAGTGGGAATCCCTGAAACTGCAATTTGAAGTCTCACTCATGAAGTAGACACACTGCCTGGGACCTTTCCCAAACTCAGACTCCAGATTACTCTTAACGAGGGACTTCGCAGTGTGTTGTTTAAGTCTGGATATTAGTCAGCCCAATTTGATGATGTTTGTGTTGTTACTCTTTTTTTTATTGTTTCTATTTTTCTTTTCTTTTAATGTTTGCATATTGAAATTAAGTTAAAGAATCATCTATTAAATATTTTATTTATTTATTTTGTTTGTGATGATTTTTTTTCTTGGTTAATAAATCCTTCAAACCTAAAATGAAAGTAAAAACTTCAACAAAACATAAATTGGTGCTATGAGCAGGATCTGTGAATAAAATGCCACTCTGTAAAAAGAAAGAAGTTAAGACTAACCAAGTTTTTATTCCTGGATGAGAAGGTTTGCCTTACTGCTGGTTAGCTACTGAAAGGGACATATCACTGGATTGTGTGAGAACTGGGACCCCCAAATTAAAGTGGGCCAAACCTTTACAAGTTATGGAATGGTTGTGGCTCATGCCAATTGAGAAAGAACAAGACTACCTCACCAGGTACAAGAGGCTGGATCCTTTTCTCTGCCTAATGTAAGATATATGAAACCGAATTAAAATTGCTTGAAGATAAATTAAAATTAGAGAAAGAGTTATGTGATTTGAAAGGATGATTGTCCATGCTACAAAGTCAAAATTGCATTTTAGCTGACTGAATCTCCATCAGTCAATAGCCAAAAAGGCCTCTCTGTAAAGACTGCACAAGTTAAATATGGAAAGCAGTGTGGCAAGGTTAGCAAAACAAGGGGGGAAAAAAAACTGAAAGAAAATTCATCTTTAAAGCAGAGGTAGATTGGAACCCCAACGCTTGGGATGGGAAATCAATCCCTCCAAAATCCAGGGACCTGCCCAAACTGTAAAGTTTTGGGGAATAAAATGGGCTAAAAGGACGCAGAGAGATTTTACCTAAGGCAAAACAAAAGATAATGAAATTTACAACCCAACAGGCAAGAAGGGAGGATCAAAAATTTCTAGGCCTATTTTGTTTCTGGCAACAGCATATTCCACATTTGAGCCAGGTACTGAGTCCACTTTAGAAAGTAACTCAATATAATCTTTTAAGGAAAGAAAATGTAGTAAGAGCTTTTCAGTTCAGTTCAGTCGCTCAGTC